AATGTATAATTTCAATACAATTGAAATTCTAAAGTGCACTAAAGGGATGAAGGAAGTAGTTCTGAGGGACCTGAGAGATGACTACTTTTTCTTGCCCTTCTGCATGCCCTACTGTGCAAAATCTCCTCACTCCCATGCTTAAACACCAGAGTTCTACACTGATGACCCACAAAAGTCTATCACTCAACCCAGATGCACTTCTTGGACCCAGACCTTCACCTCCAACTTCTGGCTAGGCACCTCCACGTGAATGTCCCAAAGATGCATCATACTCAAGGTGTCCCCAAACTCGCAGGTTCCCCTGCCCTAAACCACCTCCTATGTTTAGTAAATATTGAAAACCCACTGAGAACACAGTGTCAAATTTTGGACCCTTCCTCTGCCTCACTCCTATCTTTTGAACAAAATCTGGTTTCTTTTAATTAAGTGTGCTATCCTAAGTAGAGTCCTAAAAGCCTGAAAACAAATCTCCTTGCCTCCATTGTGCGTACCTATCTTCCCAAGAAAATGTTGCAAGGGTTTGTTTACCTTCCTTCACGTTCTTCTCTCCCTCTTAAGTAGCATTAGTGTCCTCCATTCCTTATATACAGAATATGACCTAAACTCCTTGGCTAAATTTTAAGAGTCTGGCCCCTGCCTATCTATCTAGTCATTTCTCCTCCTCACTTGTACCAGATGCACTAGCCATCCTGGAAACTTTCTTCGCTTACGCTAACCCTTTCTGCCTACACTGCTCTGTTCTCGGTGATGCCACTCCATGAAGACGTTTTATCCATCCTTCAAATGTCATCTTATAAGAGCTTTCTTTGACCACTCTTTGATGGAATACTCTCCCGCTCTTCCCACCACTGGGTTCCATTACCATGCTTTATTTTTCTTCATAACACTTTTCACATATTCCATAGTTCTTTGTTTCATGCCTGGGCCCTGGCTATAGAGTACAAACTTCTAAAAAGACAGCCAGACACATATTTGGGTGCTCAGTCATATTTGTTGAATTTACTGACTGTAATCCTTCAGATACTATTCAATCTCATCTTTTCCCTGAGAGAGAAAGAAACAGTGTTGTCCTTTTAGAGCAAGGATCACAGTCTACCTTGCACCATCTGCGTTCATGTATATTTCAAACCACTAGACTGAAGGGACTGTGGTTCACTCATATCTTCTAGTACAGAATGAACACGCAATACACGTATATTGAATGGAGCTGAATTCAACATAGAGATCTATAATGGGAAATAGATTATCTTTAGGATGGCACATTAGGAAGAAAATAAGAATGACTGAATCTTCAAACGATCTTCAGTTTGGGCATCTAGGACTCCAGAAGAGAAGTTCTTGACCTAGACACAACCTGAAAAAGCTAGGATCCTTCTGTATTTGGAATCATGAACCACCACTTTTCAAATTTGACACTGTATACGTTACTGTCATTTCTCCCACATTGGCTGAATCAGTTTTGAGTTGCTGACAAACTCTTCTTCTGTTCCTGCCATAAAGATCCCCATCCAGGCTATGGTGAAGTTCAGGGTAATTTAAACTCTTGAAGTGGCAGAAATGTTCTTGTAAGAATCCTTCAGGCTTACAGGAGCTAAAGTGATTTTTGGAGGGTTCTTTTTTATTTGGTTAGGTTATACTATGTTTTCAGGGTCAGGGGTTTCCTCTCATGTTGATACTTTCCTATAGGATTATAACTTTCTGAATCCCCTTTTATTTTACAGCCAAACATTCAATTAGACTCTAGGTGGCTGGTGCATAATGCAGAATTGCAAAAGGTGGAGGGTTAAGGTTTGGGTTCAGAAGATCATTTGGACTGCTTGAACAAGGCACAGTCAACACCATGAAGGAATATTTTTCAGATGACCAGAGTTGTTACAGAAATCAAAAGAGTTTGATTCTATAATGACACAAATATATTTATGTATATGCATTTACTTATTTATTTATGCACTCAACAAAAATTTATTAAGTACCCAACTACATACAAGATACAAAGGTAGACTAAAATGTAATAAAACATGGTCTCTGTCCTCAGAGAGAATATATTCCCTACCAAATGTTTCCTTTTTTGACGAGCAAGTGAGTTTTCTATGGAACATCTTAATTTTTCTTTTTAAAAACTAATCAATGGAACCACTATTTTAAGAATATTAACAAATTATATTCTCAGAACTCTGATGCTACAGAAATCGAATATTAATAAAGAGGCCACTGCTCTCCAGGATGCAAGTGATCATGAAAGTCCCTTCTCCCACTAAAATTTTATGATTCAATGACTATTGAACTCCTTAATAAAAATGAATAGGAAGATGACATGGCAAGCCTTTATGAAGTTGTATGAAGAAACAGTATTAATTGGAGATACAGGCAAAAGTGATTTTATTTGTGATCTGACACCTTCAAAAATATTGATACTTCTAACTTTGTTTTGTGAAAACATCTTTCATGTAAGCGGATTTAAAAATCCTCGAGTATCTTCAGTGCTGCAAACCGCATAGTTCAATACTCTGGATAAATTGCCTGTTGTTCAAACTGTCTAGGTCAATTCTCAAACTTGCATTTATAACAAAGAATTAAATTCCCTTAGATCAAAAATCAATTCCATACTCTACAAAAGTTATACCTCAATTTAGAAAATAAAAATATTTCATTTAAAACACAGTTTTATAAAATTGTATTAAACCAACTGATGTTTGATCAAATATCCATTCATCTTAAGAGCTTACTAAAGCAATTGAAACTTGCTGATATATGTGAAGATTCTGGAAGAAATCGGGGCAAAGCATTTGACATTAAATGTAATTAATATTTTTCAAGATTTAAACACAACATTCCTTTAAGATATAAAGTACCCAAGTCTAATCCACTACGTATAATCTGCATTCTCAGTCAGTAATCAAATGTTCTCGGTGCGCAAGAATTCTGCTGCTACAGATACTTATCCCTCAGAGAGCAAATACCTTGGGCAGCCCCGTTGTTCCAGATGTGTAAAGAATATACAGCGGGTGCTCTGAAAGAACAGGAACACAGTCATGTGACTGTGCTTTGGCCATCTCTTCATGCCAATCGAGGTCACGACCTGGAGCCAAAGGAACTGCCTCCTACACAGGAAGTATACAAGAATATGCACTGACCAAAGGAGATTACAGTGGAACAATGGAGACTGACTAAATCTATATATATTAGTCTGAGCAGCTGACTGAAAGTCTAGGCCCAGACAGCACTAAATATCAGATTGATGACTACATATTTCAGGGTCATGAGTTAAAAATATTCCTAAAAAGTCCGACAGTTTAATGTTGGCTTCAACTTGAACTGACCAAAGAACATGTTCTATTCAAATCTAAGGATATCTTTAAGAAATCCAAAGTGATGCAGTCATGTTTTCATCAACAGTCAGAACTTAACTAACAGAGGTTCATGTTTTCCACAAACATATGTACACTATTAACTTTATAAACCAATTTCTATTTTTCTAACTTCTTTTCTTTTATTTTGGAACTAAAGTCTTCACAATGAAATGTCAATTAACCTATTAAAATTTTTCTTTATACAAGGGCAATTTAGAACTAATACTGTGGCCGTCTTTCCAAATGAGAAAATATTAAATCATTTTCAGGGATGGGGGAGAAATCAATTTTTGCTTTTTCAAGAACAAAAATTCGTTTTGAAAATTAATGAACATAATTAATAATTAATATGGTAGAAATGTTTGTGTCCTTTTTTGTTCCTTGAGCCAGGCTCTGTGTTGTAAACTTCATGGTAACAGAGTCATGAGTTAGAGACAATTAAAAGAGATTAGACCTCTTTATTTAAAATACTGCCAACAAAACAAGCCAGATAGATAAAGAGTAAGGAAGTGGCTTATGGAAAAATTATTCTAATGGGGAGTCACAGCTATTTAAGCAGAATTAAGATTCAGTACATGCCTGATTATTTTCTGAAATGTTAACTAAGCTCCAGATGACACATCAGGAAGTTTATATTTGGTGAATTTATTAGTTTAGGCACAGGCAAGGCTACACATTCCTCAGTGAAAGTTAGTAAGATCCACCATCTAAAGAGAATATGTAACCATTCATTTCATCAAGGTGATCCCCCAGTGAAGCCCAGAGACTCTGAGGGATTTAGAAAAGCCAGGCCATTTCCATTTTTCAGGATACTGAATATATTAATCAGGGTTGTAAATATGGTCATATATTTAAATGAGTACATTTACAAAATAACACTTCAACCTAATATCACAAATAAAATGCCTTTGTGAATAAACACATTATAGATAACAATCAGAATTGAACTGCATAAAGGTGAAGTTTAAGGCCCAACTGGCTTCTCTGGCCTCACTCTGATAGACCCTGAATGTGCCAATGAGATAAATAAAAATAGTTAACTGTAACCAGATTGTATATTTCCAGTTGTTTTTATGAATCAGATAAACACAACTAATTTCAAATCACCAAGCCTTTGACATTACAATAACAGACCTATAAAAAAAATTATCACACTGCATAATGAAAAATGTCAATTGAATGATCACAAAATCGAATGAAATGAGGATTAAAAGAATGGTTATTCTTCAGGCTAAGAAAATCCTTTACAGATATATGTAAAGAAGACTTGGCAAAAGGAAGAGAGGGAAAAATCATCATTAGCTTTTACATATATACATTTACTTCTATAGACACGTCCTGTTATCATTCTTAAAAGGCCATATTGGCAGAGCACCAGAGTTGACTGATGTGATGTTCTTTTGATTCTGTCATTGCTTGCTTGAGGCTTCGGAATGGCAGCAAGGTTTTTACCTCCTTTGGCAAAAATGCAATCCTGGTTAATGAGACACACCACTGAGCCTCATAATTTGTGTCTCTAAACTGAAAGCAAAGCCAGTCCACCGGGCTTAATTACTAACTAAACAGCAGGCCTACCATAAAGGGCAAGAGACATCCAAAGCCCTCATCTAAAATAAAGATGAGTCAAAATAGAGGGCAGAGTCTCAAGAAAAAAGGAGAAAGAGAAAGTGAGCCATTTATGGGAAGGAGGGATGGAGGAGGGGATATCTACCTATAAAGAGGAAAGAGAAGAGATTTGCATTAGAAAAATCCGAATAGGAAACTTGCCTTTCCATTTCAAGTGTGTTTATAAAGTAAAAGAAATAGCATATATCTTGTTGATTAAAAGTCATTGAACCAAAGTTCAAATCTTGGTACCACTTATTAGCTGTGACTTTAGGCTATGAACCTCTCCGTAACTCAGTTTCTTCATCTGTAAAATGGGGCCAGGAATAGCATCTATTTCATTGGTTTGTGAAAATTAAATAAGAAGTATATGAAAGTACTTAGCTTTGGGCTTAGTGTAAGTTCTATACAAATTCGTGAGTTTATGTATATGCAAATTCCACACACATACTCACAGAAACGCTTGTGTGTGTGTGTGTGTGTGTGTGTGTGTGTTCCCATCTTTCCTCCAACCTCCTCATACCCAAAGCCTCTTTTTTTTTAGTATATGTGCTGCCGAAGCGAGCACCCCAAAGCCTCTTTTATTGCTGGCTCTGTATTCCTTGACTTAACAGCAACAAGCCTTCTTAAAAATATGCTTGAGGGCATCTGGAAGAAACTCAAAATTCTTTGAGACAGTAAGAATATTAAAATCAATGAGTGCAGCAGTTCATGAACCACAGACTACTAAAACTTTACACAGAAATTTAATGTGGTAATGGGAATTGCTAGGTGGTAATCAAAATGACATAGTTTTAATGCTTTCTATTCTTATATCTTGTCATTTAAGCATTTTCTGCAGATAACCTCTCAAGAGTTCCATAAAATTACATGATTCTCTGCATTCTTATCATTTTTCTTCTGCAAAAAATTTTAATCTGCTAGGAACCCAAGTTGGTTCCACTATAAATAGCTGACACTTGCATGGATATAAAAATAAGGTGATCATTAGATCAAATTTACTACGAAAAGCACTGTAAGATGTATTCATTGTGGTCTTAGACGGTTTTTTCTTCCTTCATGGATCACAAAATAATTTATCTGTTTAGAATATTCATATTTTATTTTCCTGAACATAGTTTTATTTCCAGACTAAATGCTTTCTCGAAAATTTTAAAAGACAACTTTTTTATATACAAATTAATCATACCACTCCACAAGGCAGGAGAGCTGAGGGATCAAGAACGTGGTCAGAGGCGTGTGTTCAAATCATGGCCCTGATTCACTAGCTGGGCAAGTTATTTTACCTCTGTTATTGGCTTCCTCTTACATAACATAGGAATAATGCTGTTACCTAGCTCATAAGTTATCAGCAAGATTTTTTAAACTATTCATTAGTAGAGTATCAAACATCATATGGTAAACAGTGTTTGTTAGTATCATTGTGATTATTATAATTGAAATTAATACATGACACAACAGACTATGCATAGAATCCAATTCATTAACATTACATATTATATGTGTTTCAATCTTTTTGTTTTAAGCTATTTTTTTCATAAAGATGGAAAACATAATTCATACCTTTTTTTTTGCAAAAATGGTGACATTCGGGAAGTCTATTTAATAGTTTATAAATCTAGTGTTTTTTTCACATGGTCAAAACTAGAATCATCCTTAGCACATCACCATCAGCAAGCACCAAATTCAACACTCATATTACCATATTTGGACGATTATAAATGAGCACGTTATCTGGTTTGTGTTGTCCCAGTCTCAGTGCTTCTTCTAGAAGGGGAATGTATTCTACTCTTCTTCCAGGTTCAATCCCAAATGATGCTGTAACAACCACCTTGGGCTACAACAGAAAAATCACAATAATTGAGAAAGTTGAGCAATACTAATTAGGTGAGCACAATATTTCAGGTGCAGATTGGCAATTTAACATTTCTAAAGAAGTGTAATAATTCCGTTCCCTATTGAGTAAATGACCTGAAAATAATAAACCCTTTGTAAATGTTGTAGACCTAACAACTTCCACAGAGATCTCACTTACCTGCTCCAAACTTCCTGTTCAGTGATGCTTTGGGCCAGTAAGTATGAGCTGTTTAAAAAATATTTCCCAAAGAATTCATGAAGCCAGGTAGAATTGCCCTGAACAGGTGACATGCAATCCTAGAGGCCCCATATTTACCGAGGCCCCCATACTGGCTGGTTGGTGCTGAAGTTGTAGTGTTTCTTAGGTGGGCAGGGTCAGCCTGTTGCTAACAGGAAGGGTTACAACATTTTTTTACGTCAGCATCTCTGCTTAAATGTGACCACAAAAAAAAGGGACCTGAATCTCTGATTTTTTTGTTTTATGATTCTTTTCTCATTCTAAATACATTCATTTTTGCCAAATACTCTATTTGTAATTTTGTTGTATTTTTCTTAAAAGGGCCCCCAAATGATTTATGTTTCAAGCCCCACGAAGCCTGAACCTGTCATTAAGTTACACTCGGCACTTTTCTTTACCTGATAACTTACTAGTTCTTCTCCAAGATATACTGTGGTGTAGCCCAAAGGTGTCCCTGGAGGGAGCTGAAGAAGTCAGGGTTAATCTCTGTTCTGGGCAGGCCCCAGATGTCCAACTATAGTCAAAATGTTCCTTCATCCCCACACTGAAAAGGAAGACCCCAAAGCCAAATTTGGATCCCATTTATCTCTGTGTCTTCTATGCCTGGTCCAATGCTCACCATACCATAAGCTCTCAATAAATGTTTCTGGAACTGAACCAAAATTGTCATTAATTTGCAGAAACAAACATGTCTTTATCCTTTTAAGTACACTGTTTCTTCACCAAGAAATCCAAAGCAAAGGAGGCAGATAATAAATTATTCAGGAGATAGATAATCAATCCAAGATAGTGCATCCATTCCTGAATTCTGATTTCTAGTTATAGTGCATTTCATCTAGGAAAGGTTTATATTATACCAAGTTATGCATATATCATACTGTCTGCTTTTTGAATATCATTTAATATTCATGGAGCTGAGACTCAGTGCAGTTACATAGCTTGCCCCAGGTTACAAGTGGTGGAATCAGAAAGAGCGCTAGTTCTGTCTGGTTACAGAACCTTTCTTTTCACCCTGTATCAAGCTGCCTTTTAAAAGAAAAAAAAAGAAATAAAAGAAAAATGTCTTGTTTCATTTTATTATATTTTTGAAGACCTGACATTTGAACAGAGTTCACATTTTAACATCTGCAATACTCACAAAAATAATTCTAGACAACATTCCCTAAAATTAGAATTCAGAATAAATGAAAGTAAGTTCCATATCAAATTAAAAATATATATAGAATATATCAAAGCTTGAATAATTTAATAAATTCAAAATTAGTCTCTTTCCGTCAAAAAAAGAATCCCTTCTACATTTCTATTCAACAGCCTTTTATTGGGAGATTTTATTTGGTCCAGACTGACTTGTTAGGATACTGTACAATCTTCCCATCTTCATCTGTTAAAAATAAAGCTTTTTCTTGAGGCAATTTATTTGAAAATCATGACATCAAAATCATTCCTGATTTCAACTATTCATTTTATCCAAGTATCTCAGATATATATCTCTATTTCCTCACCTTTAAGTTGACCTGTTCAATGGTCATGCCCATAAGCATATACACTCATTGCCTAAACTCCTTAAGAAGGGTGTGTGTGTGTGTGTGTGTGTGTGTGTGTGTGTGTGTGTGTGTTGATGTGGGAAACAAAAGCAGAAGAAAAATTAATAAATTTCCTTACTACCTTACAGCCCATTGACAAGTCCTGGAAACAGAGTGACATTCCTCTAGGGACTCAGCTGCCTCGATGTTAGGGCAAAAGACAATCAGCCTGACCCCCAGGACCCTGTAAGTCTACTTTAACATATAAAAATTCCTTTGGAAACTTCCTTTATCTCTACCCCCCAAGATACATGTTGGCAATCATCCTCCAAGTATATGATCCACCACTATACACATCTGAAGAGTCTCATGACAGTTTTTCCTAAACATAACAAATGACCTTTTCCTAACAACAGCTAGCCCCTTCAGGATCCTGGAAACTTTGTTTCCAAAATACCTGGGAGGCTTATGCTATCCTTAACCCCCTCCCAACTTGAAAGCATATCACCGGTCACTCCTCATGACCCCAATGCAGCTCTTTCTGCCTTCGGGTCCTGTCTCCGTTCTTTAATAAAACCACTTTTTGCACCGAAGACGGCTCAAGAATTCTTTCTTGGCCATTGGCTTCGAAACCAAATGTCTTTCCTACATCATGTGTGATGAATAAAAACTTAGCCAGTGATATAGTATACATTTTATAAATCCTCATTTTTATGTATCTCAATTTCCCCACATCATATAATTTCCTTAAAAAGGAAATAATACATATAATACATCTCATATTTTTATCCAAATGGTATTTAAGATTTCTATAGCTAAAACGCTGGAGTCTATAGCTTCCTCAAAGGAGACCCCAGCAGCCCACTGGTTTGCAGGTAAGTGACTATTTCCCCCCTAGATTTATCTTCATAAGCACTGACTCAACATGTTCGAAAAAGAGAGAATATAATCTACCCAGTTAGTCCACAAACCAGCTTCTTAGTTCTACTAACTGATCTATTACCAGATGAAGTCAGATATGCAAACCCTCACTGTCTGCCTTGCACCCAGGGGACCCTCAATACCTATTAGCTCCCTTGTTAGGAAGGTCTCATCTCGGGTTTGTGAGACTCTGAAGGTCAACCATCTGTTAGTCCCATCACTACCTTCCTTCCTTAATCTTCCTGCTGCTATTACTCTGTTGCACATCGCCCATTACTTCACAGACAGACCACCCGCCAATGGGTCTTATTCCAGGCTCTCGCCTCCCTCCCACTCACTATCTCATATTGCAAGACCTGCCTCCTGTTAGCATTGCTTAAAACAAGACACCCACCTGCTCAAAAACTTTCGAGTCAAGGTCTACAGGACTCAGTTCAGACAAAACTGCCTTTGTAAGCTCACCACCTCTCCCTCTTCAGCCATCTCTGTCTCTTCCCCGTCCTCCCAATGAATTTTACCCTTTCCTGTCTCAGGCCAGACTCATAGTCTTCTTCTCTCCTTTTGGATCCCACAACATCATTCTCTTCAACTGGCTGAATCTTAGGGAAGATCTAACTCAAATCTCAACTCCAGGAAGTCTGCTTCAGCCACTCCAACTAAAAAAAGTCCTTCCTTCTTCTAACTCAGGGGTCTGTGAACAATGGGTGAGGACCACACCCCACCCACAGCATGTTTCCGTCGAGTTTTCTTGGGATGCTGTCATGTCCTCTGCTTACATAGTGTGTAGTGCTCGCTTCGGCAGCACATATACAGAGTGTGTAAAGTTGCTTGAGTGCTCTAACAGCACAGCTGAGGAGCTGCTGTAGCCACCTGTAACCCACAGTGCCTAAAATAGTCACTGTCTGGTAACTTACCAGAAAAAAGTTGGCTGATTCCTACTCTAAATTCATAAGGAAATGATAGCTAACCTTTTTTTTTAATAAGTACTAAATACCAGGCACTGTGTTAAATGCTTTCAAGTCAATATCTCAATGATTATTTCACAACAGCCTTATCAAGTCTGTTATTCTAGTACTCCCATTTAAACGTGTAATCCACCCCTCCCTGACACCCCTTCTTCACCACTGCACTTATACCAACATTCCTGGAAGTATGTACGTTATAAAGCTACTATGTGTTCCATCCATCTGGGAAGGATCACTCATTATCCAGTTCTCAGGATAGTACTTGGTATATAGTAGGAAGTTAATAAGTATGTTAATGAATAAATTGGTTATTAGTTATTTTCCTTGTATGTCTTATATGCCCCCAATATGTGGCAAGCTAACTTGAAAGGTATGCATCTAATCTTATATTTTACATTCCTCACAGCACCTGGCAAGATGTTTTTCACATAAGATTGACCCCAAAGTAAATTTTTGGGTTATATATAATATATATTATTATATATTATATAATATGTTATATATATTATATATTGTATATATATAATATATATATTATATGGCATATATATATATGTGCCAAAGAAAACACAACATTTAAGTATCTCATTTGAAAGGAGAATCTCATAAGTACAGATCACTCTTGGATGATTCTTTCACAGACAAATATGATTGTTTTCTCCAAATAAAGCACTTACCTTTGCATGATCAATACGACTGCTTAGTTCTTTGGATGCAAATCCCCCAAATATGAGACTGTGGATGGCTCCTATCCTTGCACATGCCAACATGGTATACATCGCTTGCGGGATCATGGGCATGTAGATAACCACGGTGTCACCTTTCTTGACACCATGCTTGACCAAAACACCTGCCAGCTTAGAGACCTATAACAAAATCATTACATCAGCCAAGTGTTTTCTGTGTTACTTCACCAAACTTCTAAGACAGTAACACAAGAAGATGGTCATCGTCTTGGTAGTGGTTTAAAGAAACCTGAGTAACACGTATTTGATGATGATGTAAGCTTAGACCATAGCAGTAATAAAAGACACCTGTCTTAGAGTAACTGACTATAAACCAACTTACTATTATTATGCCATATGAACTCTGTGGCTTAAATTTGCTTAATTATCTATTCAACAACATATTTACCGAGCAACTATGATGGACCAGACATTGTGTTTCAAGTCAGGAACACAAACAATGAAAAACAAAGACACAGATATGTCCCTGTGGAGCTTTAATTCTAAAGGGGAAATTTGTCCAGTGAACAGAAAAGTAACATAATGGCAAATATGGATATATGTTGGCTTAACTGTTGAAAGAGACAAGTATGTGTCAGGAAAGAAAGCATTATCATACACTTATAAGGTCAATCAGACAGATTGTGTTATTATCATTCCTATTTTAAATATACGGTAACTGAGACTCAAATATAACAAATAGCTAACCTGGGACCAGATGATGTAGCCAGGATACCATCACAAGTCTTTCAACCTCCTATTCTTTGTCTTTTCTGCTGCCTGAAGCCAATTACTTTTTTCTTTATAGTTTTTTTATACTAATTATCTATACAAAGTGACCACCCTCTATATTGAGATAAAACATACAAACTTCTTTCTACTTTTGACACATGTTTTGGGGACCAAAACAGACTGTGTAAAATATACCCAGATCTAAGTGAATGCAAAGTTCAACATTCTTTCATTTAAAAAATGTATACGGAGCACCTGTATACGGCAGACACTCTTTTCTGATACATCTGTAAACAAAACAAGACCAAGATCTCTATCCTCAGAGGACTTAGGTTTTAGCAGAGTAAATACTTAAAACAAACGTAAGTCAATTATGTACTATGTTAAAAGGTAGTCAGTACTGTGGGCGGAGGGGGAGTAGAACAAAGTAGAGGGGTTGAGAATGAGGGGGATAGGATTCTCAATGGGACAGTGAGTGCAGACCTCACTAAGAAAGTGGCATTTCAGCAAGGACAGGTACATGTTGAGAATAAGTGGATATCCACAGGTATGCTCTTTCAGGCAGAGAGAACACCAGTACAAAGGTGTGAGGGGGATCATCTGTGACGCGATGGAGTAACAGCAAGGAGACCAGGGAGCTGGAACAGAAAGAACAAGGGAGAAAGTGGTGACAGATCAGGTCAGAGAGCGAAAGAAAGGGCCCAGAAGAGCCCAATGGGCAATGGGAAGGACTATGGCTTGCCCTTCGATGTGGCTGTTCAAGATAATGAACAGAGGAGGCCCGAGACAAGGAATTGGGCCACAGGGCTCTTCACAGATCCTTTCATTTCATTCTGCTTCTCCTACTTTTTCAGCAAGTTCTAAGGACTTGGAATCCTGATCATTCTTCCTTTTTCTCTTTATTCACTTCTTCTGTACAGATGGGGAAAGATGTGGTCAAAGTTAAGGGCTCTGGTGAAAGATAGAAAGTAACAAACAACTCTCTTAGTGTTTTGCTCTCCCCTAACTACACGCTATAATTTAGTGCTATTTTTTAAGAACTCAAAGCTGCCCAGCAGAAAGTTATGAGAAAGATATACCAAAGTAATATAAATCATCAATTTAAATTCTATTTGGAGCTCAGAACCAAGAAAAACACTGGAAAATTATATCCAAACCCTCAGGGTGCCATCCCCATAGAAAGGGGCCACGCTCTGTGGTCACATTACTGGGTATCCCATTTAAGGTACAGCGCTAGGAGAGACCAATGAGAAGAGTTTGTCCTATTTACAGCTATAATTTCAGCATCTTGAATAGTGTCTATTGTTGAGTACAAATGATCTTCATCCAAGACCCAACCTAGCAGTGATTCAGTAACTTTATATTCCAGTCTCACTTCACAATGTTGCTGGAAGATGCCTAACATCTGAAAGAAATTTTTCTGTCCTCTGAAAGAAATGTTATTGATGAATTCAAAAACTTTTTTGGGAAAAAAAAATCTCAAAATGACCAAATGTGATGCCAAGATGTATTTAAGTTGGAGTCACGTCACATCTTTAAAAAAAAAGAGCCAACATGTTAAAATTAGGAGCCTTCATATACAAATCCAGATTTCCAGGTTCTCCTGAAAAATTGTAAAGTCTAGCAACACTGGGCCTCTGTTTTTGAATGACAGCAATCAATTAAACCTGATATCAGCGACTAGGTTGAACTCACCATTCCCTGGAGCCATTAATCACAGAGCATAGTTTTTTCTTTCCATCCTGAGTTTAAAATATATTCTTCTACATCTTGTTTATTTTGTGTTATATACTTACATCATAGTTCTATAACCATAAAGGGTGTGATATATACTGATAATGAATTTTTTCCCCACCCGTTTCTCCTATTTATATTATCTGCTTGGCTCAGGCATCTGAATTGTGAACCACTTCCCTGAAGACAATTAGTAAATTAGGCCGCACCAGGTCCGTATAACCACTAGATGGCGTCCATTTGGCCTTGTTAACCTTGCTTTTTGCAGCCACTCAAAGTTTTGGAATACTGTGCTAACCACATCAGAGTTGCCATAGAGAAAAAAGTTTTACATAATCAATAGAGAAAATTTCTTTTTCAGTAGTGTCCAGGGCTAAATGTCATTCCAGTTAAATTTTACATTGTAAATTGTATACATATATAAAATTATATACATATATATGTATCTATATACATACATATATATACATATGTATGTATATATATGAATGAAGTTGAATGGGAAAACATTTCTGGTGAGACTTCTAATAGGCATATAAAAAACAAAATATTAGCTCAAGCAAGAAAAATAAGTGGATATTGGTTTAATATGAAAATATGTGGTGATACTTCATTACAAAACATTTCTTACTAACATTAAATCTAGAAATAGTCAGTACGGGAGTCCTAAACAGAATACTTAAGTCTTGTTTCAGACACAAATAAAATCATTTTGAAAATAAGTGTAAGCAACAGCAAACCAGAAGAGGAAAAATCTAGAAATCCCAGTCATCTGAGAGTCCATAATCACTCCAAGAAAGTGTTATGAAACTTCAGTACAAAGGGCAATTTGTTTATTGCTATTTCACGGCTCATCTTGTTTTTACTGACTTTCAGATGGAAAAATTATCAAAGAGAAGGAAATTGGATATTATTTTTATTCAGTGTTAATATTCTTCTTATCCTACCATAGATATCTGAATGTAACTTTACACTTTCTATTGCTATCCAAAGAGAAAATAGTTAATATATATCTTGTATAATCTATAACTTCTCAATGAAAGGAAAAGTTACATCATATGTCTTCACCCAATCCATATTCATTTTTGCACCTTCTAAATATTGTGTTTTAATTTATCAACAATTTAATCATTTTCTATCACTCACACACCACTAAATTGGTTTTCCGTCTAATGTCAAGGGCAGTACACATGCTATGAAATCATGGTCAGGCCATGCCTCTCTGCTAGCAGGAGGATAACTGAGCTGTGAAGGAAGCCCGAAAAAACAAAATGAATGTACATATTCATTTAGATACAACACTATTTGCTTCTTCCCACTAGAGACTTTCAATTAATCATTATTTTGATTAATAGCTAATTTAAAGCCGCTCAAATGTATAAGTATCCTGTCACTGATTCAACTTACACAATATCTGCTATGTATACTATCCTGAAGTCAAGTTTGCAGAGGCAAAATAGGAAGACATAGTCCTTAAAGCAAAGAAATGAAGAGTCCAGGGAAAAAGAACATAAATAAATAGTAATGACAAAGAAACTGTAACGGCAGATATTTATGTTATGTGAAATGGTATACACATAGATTTGGTTTAAATATAACAAATGTGCTTATTTTTGATATAAGTAAAAACTTTAAATTTTAAAATTATAAAATGAAAACATATTAGTATAAATAATAAAAAAGAATTTAATAAATTTGGTATGTAATCATTCTGCAAAATCTTCATTCAAAAGCAGTCTGTGGGTTAGTATAATTTCATGATCAAATGTCCATGACACAAATATAAACATTAGGTGAAACTGACCAAAGACTATGTTCTGTAGAGTAAATTAGCACTTGCTTCACAAACAGCAAGTGTTTCTATCTAAAGAAAATCATGTTTGTATGAGAAAGATAGTGTTGGTGTCCAAATTATAGTAAAAAGATAATAATTATAGGCAATTTCAGGGCCATTTCCAAGAAAATTATATGAAAGAGAAGACAAGAGGAAGCATATTCCAAGCTGCAATGATGTCTCACTGCACACCCTGGTCTAATCAATCACAGAAAATATAACTCATGTAAAAACCAATTATAATATCTGAGGAAGCAATCTTCTTTTCCTAAAATTCTACTTGAAAAATATTCAGAAACCTTCCCATGGCGTTCTATATAAAAACACCTCAAAAGATGGGGAGTAAGCAGGGGATTTACAGGTGGCTGCTCTATAAAGTTTGAATCCGACTTTTCTAAAACCCAGTAAGTATAAAACCCAGGAAGTACAGCCGGCATTCCCAGATAAAGACACAAATGGGGAATAGCTTCCACAAGGCACAAAGCAATGGTGTCCTTTAACTGTCCCCATGCAAGCAAATGTTGCTATCGTTAGGGAGATTTAAACATGATGTCTATTCATTTCTCCCCTGGACCATTTGTCATCTCTTGGTTTCCAATCTTGCCCACTATAGTTTCTTCTTCAGAGAATCCAAAGTGATGGGGCTTCCTAGCATACTTTGAATAAAATATAGTCTTGGGGTGCCCAGGTGGCTCAATTGGTAAGGGTCTGCCTTCAGCTCAGGTCAGGATCTCGGGGTCCTGGGATCGAGCCCCACGTCGGACTCCCTGCTCAGTGAGGAGTCTGCTTCTCCCTCTCCCTCCCCACCGTTCATGCTATCTCTTGCTCTCTCTCTCTCTCA